CCCCAAAACCCCAAAACCCCAAAACCCCGCTAGGTATATTTTCTAAAATACAGAAAATATAGAAATTAATATAAGCCATAAAATGTCTTTGATATTTAAGACTCAATTTTAAAATTTTGTCAAGAAAAGATTGACCTCTTATTCCATAATGAGAGAGGTATTTGAAGTTTATAATTCACAAATTATAGGTGAAATAAGGTCTTCTCGATTTGCATAAAAATCATGTTCCTAGAAATAATGTAGCAATGTATAGAATGCCAAAAACTGAATTGAGAATACTTGCCAAAATGGAGTGCCCTGTCGAGCTAAATCCAAAAACAAGAAAAACGTAATTTGACTTAATATATTTAGTTTAGATATGAAAAGGACCTTGTTATATCAAGCAAGCTATTGAGAGAAAAAATGGGAGTAAATGAGTAATCTGTAATATTTATAATCTAATCTTGATTAATGTTTTAGACTTGCTCAAAATGTTCTCAGAAATAAATTTGCTCATATTTTAACAAATCAGCTGCTTAAATTACTTAAGACTATATTGATTCAGACAGAAAAATTGAAGCAAATCTTAAAGATGTTTAGAACTTACTCTATGGCTTGTATTAGAGATCATTAATCTTGAATTCTAAAGCAGTAAATCCAAATGAAATTATAATTGAAGAAAATTAAATGGTTTCTGAGACAACTTTCCTAGCGTCTGAGAGAGATTTAAAAAGTCAGGGGCATTTTAAAGAATATGATTTCTCTACTTACAATGCTGCCTCTATGATCTTATAGAATTTAGAATTCTTGTACAATGACTTGATTGATAACAACGGATTGCAATTAAAAATATTTATGAATGATATGGTATCAGAGGGAAAGAAAATGAATATCATTAATGATTAATAATCTACAGCTCTTGCTAGAAGAAGCGATGGCTAACTGCAAGTATAACCTAAGGAAAATGATGAGCTGGTTGAGGTTGAGAAATTAATGACTAAACTTGAAAGAGCTAAAAACAGAAAAGAAAGAAGAAGACTATTAGCTATGTTCAATTAACATCAAGAATTAGTCTGGGGTGATAGACAAAGTATAAAAGCAATTCAAGTGAGTTAAAAAGCACCCTCTCCTTAGTAATATGATCCTTCAAAGGATGAAACCAAAATATACAATTAGATGACTAAATCATATGTTGACAAATAGGAATATTATTAAGCCCTAAGGAAAGATAATAGAGATCCAAATAGCCCAGACAAAAGATCAAAAAAGCTGACATAGATACTTTCAGTGAAACAAAAACTCAGCTCCATTAATGCCTATGAAAAAACTTAGAAATTTGAGCATAAAGTAAATCTTGAAAACGAGAGGGTTAGACAATAAATAAGATAAGTGAGTTACGCTAGAACTAAATTTATTGAGGATAATTTGCCTGCACTCTAAGCTATATTGGAAGGGAAAAGGGTTTCAGCTTATTTTGAAAATGAAGATTAGGCTAAATAGTTTATTCAAGAACTACATCAGAAAAAACTAGAAAAATTAGAAGGCTTTGGGTTTTAGGAGATTGAAGAAAAAAGTAAATTGACTAGGGGTGATAGTCATCCTGTAATACCTGGTAGAGAGCAACTCAGCTAGCAACTGCTAGAAGGTAATTCAAGAAATAAGTTGTTAGCCCTAGAAAATAATTAAGAGAGAAAGCTACTATCAGATATAGGTGTCACTGTTCAATAGATAGAGGGAGATGTAGAATAAGAAATAGAAAGGCTTGAAAGATTTATTGTTGAGGATGATCAATAAAAAAAGACAAAGAAGTATGAATCACAAAATTTCTTTATAACTAGAGCTAAGCCCATTGATAATACTCCAGAGAAAGCTTAAGCAAATCAAAAGAAACATATTATTAAGGTAACTGTAGATGATAGATATATCGCTGAGAACTATTATCAGGGCTAAAATATGAGTGAACTTCTTTATGAAAAGGATGGTATAATTGGTAAGATGAGACAGTTTGACTATAAAATACATAAGTTCAAGAAACTCAATGACGATGAACCAGAGAGTGAAAAAAACTAAAAGAAAAATCAATAGAGATCGGATTTATGAAATTAAGATTAAGGGTAATATTGATTTGTGACTTCATCATAATTAAACATAATTTAATAACTCTTTCATATTCAAGTAATGCTGCTTATTCAGTTATCTTCATTAATCTTACTGTCTTATTTGTAAATAGATACTTTGAAACCACTAGATGTGCCATTCTAGTTAAACATTTGTACATCATGAATTAACCCTCGATCGCTTATAAGTCTCGTTTCATTGACTAATTCATTTGTAATAAGTTCAAAACTCTCTCCTCCTTAGTTCAGTTTTGCCTTCAGATACGAGTTATTCTATGGAGATGGTTAGAAAGTAGAGGTAGTTTGAATGTCTTAGTCATATTTCTTAACATTGTTTTATAAGTACTTGAAATTTATCTAGTTATGTTTAGGTCTTACTATAAAAGCATTCTGAACAATTTTGATTGGCATATCATCATCAGCCATCATCTAATTGTTGTCAAACATCTTGTAAAAGGGCTAAGCTTGGATGATCATTTACTGATTTCTTTAATGCTTATACTAATTGAATCTATCTTTAGCTGTAACTATTGATCTTTTTGAATTAGATGTTGTGAACTATTTCTGAGTGTTTTGCTGCTGTTAAAGCAAATTATTTTGATTTTAATATATCTTTGAAAATAGTTACTCTTTAGTTAACTTATTCTTGAGGTTATTATAAGCCATGTTAAATTTAAATCTAGTCATACTTTATGCTTTTTCTAGATGATGTGAGCTATTGCTTTATCCTAAAGTATGGTCATTTGGGGTATGAAAAGTATTTTCAGATTGTAAAGATACTTTCAGATTTTGAAGTTACTTCTAGCTGAAATCATTTGAAAATTTCCCATGCGAAACTCTTTTCAAATATGGAGATTAAGGATGATGAATATTTGATCCTTAACCTTAGCTTCTTTCTCTTAGAGGAGTTTGCTTTCCTCCATTAACGCTTTTTCTTTTTTTATAGTGAGGAAAACCTCCATGACCCTTCATCTTTTGGTAATCATTTTCATTTAATCTAGGTTAAGTAGCAATGTCCATGTTATAATCAGTTGCTATATTTACCTTTTGATATACACTTTGAGGGTTTACCTTGTCTTTAGTAAGGAATTCTATGAAGGGCTTATCTATATCGATAGATAAAAGTTTAGATTTAGGCCTTGATATTAATACATCAATAGGGAAGACATTTTAGTTTACGCTAGATGATAGAGATAACTCACCAAGTGTGTTTTGCTTCTTCATTTATTAGTGACTTGTGATCGGCCTAGCTTGTGAGTTAATTGATAAAGTCTTATGATTATTTATTGGCGATCTAATCTGTTGATTATTTTTCTTAAGTAAAGATTAAGCTCTTGGCAGTGAATTTCTCTCACTTCTTTTGGTTTGCTGGCTAGTTTTAATTACTCTTGGCATAAATTGCTTATCTTCGAATATGTAATCATCCAATTCTGTTATCAAGAGTTAATCTTAAATCACTTAATTTCTAGATGCGTCTCTCATCTTATCGCCACTCAAAGTTCACTATTATTCTGAAGTTATAAGTTACTATTTCTCTTTGAACTGCTGATAGGAAGTTTTTGCATTTTGTCGAGCTGCAAGCTGCTAATCATAGTAAGACTGCATATCCTTTCCCATTATATCATCAAAATCTTATGATGGACCCCTTGTATTTTATTTCTTGGTTATTAATCCAATGTCTCTAAGCTGTTCTTGAAGTTCGATTATTTCCTTCAAACTCTCATCTTTTGAATTTTCATAAGTTATCATTAAAAGATTCTTGACTTTCTTAGGTCTTTAATCGAATGAAACCAGTTACTTTTCTTTCGGCTTAAAACTGTAAGGCACAATCAACTATTGGTAATCCTTTGATTTGATCTGCTCTTTTTATTCTTTGGTTGATTTTTTCCTTTTTTAATTTATCTTATTGTTAGGTAATATCTACTTTATGGAACCCACTTAGAACGGTACAAGCAATGGAGTTGACACAAATCTAGACATAAATTATATTTCACTTTATAGAATAATATATTAATATATATAATTCGATGTTCTAAATTTGTAAATTCTATTAGAGCTTTACGGGGTTTTGGGGTTTTGGGG